GTTAGTAAGTCTGTCAGATTTCGCAAATAATTTCAGGGCTCTATCCTTCATGTATTTTTTGATGGGACCAATCTTGAGGTCCCTGAGGATGTCATTCATCCTAATGTACCAAGGAACTTTGAAAAGTCTTCTCAGAGCCTAGCTTTTTGCAATTTCTAACTGGTGAATAGTAGTGTTTGTAGCTTTGCTAAACGCTACACAACAATATAGAAGTGTTTCATATGGTTTTTTGTCACCAGAATAGATTAAGAGCTCTTCTCTAAATTTAGTTCTGGACTTTGTTCACAAAGCTTTAAAGAATTTTGTGTAATCAATAGTGAAATTGATACAATAGGACTCTTCTGGTCGTAATACCGGCTGTTGGGCGATTTCTCGTTAAAGCTTTAATAATATTACTAAAATTAAACAATTAACTATCTTTTCACGCTCGATCTTTTAGGTTGTTTAGTTTTTATAATAACTTAGAGAATTCATGTCAGTTGCCTCAAAATATAATTTTTCTTAACACCTTATAATCCATACCACTCGCTTATAAATTTATTCATGTTAACAATCAAATAATAATTTAGCTCCCTACAAAACATTTCAATTGTGTTAATTACTTTTAATATTATTTTCTATTAAAAACCAATTTTCAACAAATATTCTATCGCCATCATCATCATTATCAGCATCAGCATCGTTCCAGCTATTGCAACCCAATGTAGGTCGAAACTTTCTTCACAGTACTACTCTAGTTTATACGCTTAATGTCCTTGATTTCATAATTTCGGGTTTTCATAACTCATAACTCTGTTCTGGCAATAACAAAAACTTTATAATCAATTAAAATTTAAGTATCACTTAAATGCGATGAAAATCATAATATTTGTACCTAATTAATTTGTCATTTATAAAGAGAAATAAATATCTTAACTGTATAGAATCACGCTCAGTTGCACCCAATCATCACCATCCATTTAACTCACTTTTGACAAGTGACAACACTAAATCATTATTTTACGAGTTTTTAATTCGAAGATACAAAATGATCACTTTTTCAACATTTTAGTGCTGTTAGTGCTGTTAGTACCGTTGGTGCCGTTGGTGCCGTAAAAGGCGTGCAATGAACACAGAACTTTACAAATTCAAGAAAAACTATAAAAACAATTTTACAAACTGTCAACGACAATGAAAGGAAATACGGACGAAACATAAGGAAGACTGTTGCTGTTGTTTGCTGGAAGTGTTGTTACAGCAGCAATGCTGCAAGGAAAGCCATTGCAAACGTCACGTTAACAACAAAAGCAGCCAAGCAGGCAAGCATCCAGCAATAGAAATGCCAGCCGCAGCAGCGAAAGTATAAAATCCATGAAAAATGAAAAATGAAAAATTTAACGACATTGTGGACAGTAAAACGATACAAGAATTTTCGACATAAAATCAATTGATGTGGTGTTGATGTTGTATTGAAGTTAGGGATTTCCACGGCATGATGAAGGAAAATATCAAAAATTACGAAATATTTTATGACCTTTCACTTACAATGAAATTCAGCAAAACTCTGATTGTTGAAAGCACTAAAAATTATTTTGGAATAATTTTTTCTTTTTTTTTTTTGTTGGGGTCATTAAATTTGATTTAATGAATTTTTCTCGGAATAACTCTTAGAATTCAATTAAACTGAAAGCTGCTAACATTTGCATTAAATTCCTTGCTTCTTTTTGTATTATTTTTAGATGACAGTTTCCGTAGCGACTTTAGTGGCGATCATATTCAGGGTGGTAGCATGCAAACGCGCAAACCGCGCCGTAATCGCACCACATTCACCTCAGGACAGTTGACAGCACTGGAGAAAGTATTCGAACGTACGCATTATCCAGATGCATTTGTACGCGAGGAGTTAGCAACGAAAGTGGGTCTAAGCGAAGCGCGCGTACAAGTAAGACCAACTTGCAATTTGTACGGTGAACTCAAAATAATTTCCAGTATTCTAATTTATACTTCACCACAGGTCTGGTTTCAAAATAGACGCGCAAAATTTCGACGAAATGAACGCAGTACGAACAATGGACGCAGTTTATTAGCAACAGCATCACAGCCTGTGCCACCTATAACGAGTGTTCATAAATTCGCTACCGATAAGAGTGCGGCAGCACTGTTTCACCAACAAATGGATTTACCCCATCATGCAGCGGCCGCAGCCTATTCATTGAGTTTTCCAACACTTAGCATGTATTCATCCAAAGGCTATACGAACTCATACGGTGCATTTGGTGCGACGGCCGCTACAAATGCGGCCGCCGCTGCTGTTGCCAATGATGCTATTGGTGGTGCATTCTTCACACCCACCAATTATTGCACACCGAACTACCAGCACAGTTATGCTTCTTTGCGATATAAGAGTGCGCAAGGATTTTCCGCGTTATGATTTGAATTTCTGTCAATGACGAGTGTGACAATACAACTATTTAAGCAAACATAAATTTTATTTTTCTTTAGTTATATAAACTAGTATAATTAAAAATAAATATTAATAAAATTTTTTGTTAAGGAATATAATTACTGCAATTTATTGATATAGATTACACTGATAAAGATGAGTTAAGTCCGAGGTATTTATAGGCTATATACTATGTGCTTTAAAATGTTCGAACACCAAACTGCTGGAGTAGATCGAGTATTTTCGAATTCGAACAATTCAAATATTCAGAAAAGCTCGAGACATTCGTAGATATTCGAGCTACTGGAGCAGCAAAGCTTCTCGAGATTCCATTTTGATTTTATTTTATTTAATACAAATACGGGAAACAACAAACTCTCAAGCACTATTCGATGTACGGTTTAAGTACTAGAACACTGAAACGGTGGAAGTTTTCAACAACTCGAAAAATACAGCTCGAAGCACTAAAATACATCATCAATGTTAGGAATATAAGAAAAGATAAACAAATATAATCAAACAATAACAAATTTTTCTTACTTTGTGATAAGGTCTTCAGGAAGCATCAGATGACATTACAAAACAATGGGTTTCTAAAGGATCACTCTATTAAATACAGTATTATTATTTGTAATTTCTTAAAGTTTGATATTTGCAATTGACTTACCCGATATTGCTTGCTGCTTTTGTTTCTCTGTTAGAATTCTCTCTTGATGCACTAAATACATATATACATATAGATCTATGGTTCAATGGTTGCGAAAATTTTTTAACTTTTTATTGTTCTGGTAGTGGTGGCTCTATCATTTCAACCGCAATTCGTGGATCATTTGCAACATGCTGGTAACGATAAGCCATTGCTCTTTGTATTAATAAGAGTTCCCTAGCCGTAATTCTATTTTGCAACTTTTTTATCTGGTAGTCCAATATTGGCTCAATTAGCTAACGTAGTAAATGAAAAGCAGAGCATGTTTTTGAGAAAATTTTCCTCACTTTTATATGTAATTTAACTTACCAATACTGCAAAGTGTATCGCTGCAATCCCATACAAAACATATTTTACTTTTGACATTTTACTTATAAGTGTTTTAGAAAAATAAATAAAATAAATTTATGCTTATGTACCACAATTCATAATACTTGCGAAATTTAGAAAATATATGTATTAAAACAAAAAAAGTACAAACAAATAATTTTTATTCTTTCTTTAAAAATTAAACTCTATAAATTAAATATATTTCAATACAGATATGATTAAAATATCTGTTTAAATATCTTTTTTTTATTTAAGTACATTGAAATGCCTCGATTAAGCAACAGTCACCAGCTTTAGTAACTGGCGACTCTAACTGAAGCAACAGCCTTTATTATATTAAATACAACAGTCTCCGACTCACAGTTTCGATATTTTCTAAACTAGTAGAGATAAGGCCCAATCGGCCCCTCCAAAGTTGGACCCAAATACGGTCAACTTTTACATATTTAAGAAATTTGGTATTTTAAATATACAAAATTATACATACAAAATTTTCATAAAAAATTATTATTAAAAAATATTTTACTTTTATTAGACTAAGTACATTCATTATGCATATAACAATATAACTTAATGTAAAAAATTGAAGTGATTCGCCTATTAATTCTTATATAGGTAGGTTGCAGTCGCGACCTTGTTTCCAAAAAGCTAACTTGAGCTCAAATAATGGTCAATTGTGGTATCAAAGGAATAGCATTGGTACGTACATAGATTGAAATCAGTAAAATACCATTTTATATATTTTTATTTACAAATATTAAATACTTATATTTGTGACCAAAACTTATTATTATAATAATTTGTTACCGGGCTAATTGGTCAAATTTTAATATAAATAAAAAGACACTAATTTATTATTTATATTTAAAAATCGTTTATATTTTATTTCCGATATTTCGACTATCTTCGATAGTCATCTTCAGGGAAAACTACACAAAATATAGGATGTTCACATTTTTATAGCGGATTATAAAGAAAAATCATACAATAAATACAATAATAATGATGACAACAAGAGAAAAAACAACAATAAAAATACAAAAGAAAAATTAAAATTATAAAAAAAAATTTTATAAAAAAAAAAAAAAAAGCTTTACAAACATCCTGTGTCATTTGTTTATAATATTCCTATAAGCCTGAGCACAGTTGTCCGTATCAGTTTTATAATTAAGTCTTATATTATTGGGCACTTGAAGTATTGAGAGCATTTCTAGAAAGTACCTCTTATTATGGTTCCTTTCTTCATATAAAATTTTTGCCTTATCAAAATCAGGTTCATGTTTATGCTCCATACAATGCACAGCCAATGCTGTATTGGCTTCAGCACCACTTTTATTTTTTAAACTGTGTTTATGTCCAGCCATCCTTGTCCTAAGCTTATTTTTAGTCGTACCTATATATATTTTGTTACATACATTGTACCCGTCACCTTTACAATTCAGCTGGTACACTACATTAGATTTGTCTTTATTATTAATTTTAGTTTTCGTATTGCTATATAATTTAGCTATTGTGTTTGTTGCCTTATGAGTAATTTTATAACGTTCCTTGTCATATATACTAGAATTCATTATTTGGTTTGACAATTTCGGAACATAATCAATGGATTTATATATTTTTTTGTCATTATTATTGTTAGGTTGGAGCTTTTTACAGGTCTTATTAAGCATCATATTAATAATCCTTACGGGGAAGTCATTCTTTATTAAAATATCACGCACTATGTTCTTTTGTTCATTATGGAAAATTTTGTCACTCAGTACTAGAACTCTTCTAATAAAATTGGATGCTGTATTTAAAATCACGTGTTTAGGATGATTGGAATTATAGTTAATTAATCTTCCTGACGCTGAAGACTTTTTATACCATTGAAAGTGAATTTGGTTATTATGTCTAATTAATTCAACATCTAAATAAGGAAGCCTGTTATTCTTTTCTTCTTCTATGGTGAATTTTAAATTTGTGTGAAAAGAATTCAAAATTTGAAGTATTTGAGTTATTTTATTTTTGCGTATTATCGCGAAGATATCATCTACATACTTCGTTAATAATCTTGGTTTATATTCATGGTCATCCATACACTTTTCCAATAATTCTTCCATCACGATATCTGCTATAATGGGTGATAACGGTGAGCCCATTGGCATGCCTTTACGTTGTTTATAAATTTTGTTGTCTAGCATGAAGTAATTATTTTCTTTAAGACAGAAATTTAAAATTTCGAAGAAAAGTGATTTAGTAATCTTAGTGAATGTCTTAATTATATTCCACTTCTTTTCCAAAATTTTAATGGCTAGTTCAACCGGTATATTCGGAAATAAGGATACTACATCAAAGGATACCATTATTTCATCATCAAATATATATGAATTACTGACCTTATTTTTGAAATCAATTGAGTCTTTAACATTATAAACCGAATGTATGGTCAGATTTTTTAAAATTGACGCTATATATCGACACAATTCGTATGATGGTGAGTTAACTGAAGAGCAAATAGGCCTAAGTGGCATATTTTCCTTATGTAATTTAGGTAACCCATATATTCTAGGTGGGTTGGCTGTATATGTACATAATTTTAGTTTTTCTGTTTTATTTATTATTTGATTATCAAAAAGTTTTGTGACTATTGTATTATTTTTAGTTTGTAACGTTGAAGTTGGATCTCTTCTGAGTATTCGGTATGTCATAATATCATTTACTATATTTTTAATTTCTTTGTCATAATGTTCTTTTTTTATAGCAACTGTTTTGTTGCCTTTATCAGATTTAAGTATTAAAATGTTTTTATTCAGTTTTAAAAATATTTTCGCTTGTTCCACTGTGCGCAATATGTATTTTTCCATAGGAGAATGTGTTATTTGTCTTTTATACCTTTCAACCATACCGATAAGTTGTGTTCTCGCTATTTCTTGCCCTTCTTTATTTTCTAAAGTATTAATGCAGTCTTCTCCATCTGTTAAATACTTAAGAAGTGGAAAGCTTTTTTTAGAAAGAGGTAGGGAGAAATTAGAACCAAGAGAGAGAAGCCACTGCACATCAGCTGCCCAATAATATAAGACTCAATTATAAAACGGATACGGACAACTGTGCTCAGGCTTATAGGAATATTATAAACAAATGACACAGGATGTTTGTAAAGCTTTTTTGTTTTTTTTTTATAAATTTTTTTTTTTATAATTTTAATTTTTCTTTTGTATTTTTATTGTTGTTTTTTCTCTTGTTGTCATCATTATTATTGTATTTATTGTATGATTTTTCTTTATAATCCGCTATAAAAATGTGAACATCCTATATTTTGTGTAGTTTTCCCTGAAGATGACTATCGAAGATAGTCGAAATATCGGAAATAAAATATAAACGATTTTTAAATATAAATAATAAATTAATGTCTTTTTATTTATATTAAAATTTGACCAATTAGCCCGGTAACAAATTATTATAATATTTTTATTTACGATATTTACAAATTATTAATCAATTTATAGAGAATTTTCGAAGACTAGTGGACTACAACAACAAAATTCTTTTTATATTATTTTAATTAATTGAGTTTTTGACTGCCTATCATGGGTATTTGAATACCCATCATCAGTGATCTTGGAATTATTTTTTATATTAATTTTTCATAAATAATATTTTTTTTGAGATTGCGAGTACCAAGGGTTCAAATCGTATCCTGCCAAATTTGAAGCTCGTTGTCAGCGTTCATTAACCAACTGCTCCAAAGCTGTACTTGATTTGTATGTTCGCACTTGGAGTTTAGCTAATTTGATGTGGAAGTTCATTAACAAATTCATTTACTGAATTATATTAGAACGAAATCATGTATATATATATTTTTATTTTTATTTGCTTAATTTCAGTTCAATGAATTTTTGCTGCTATAGTTTATCATTTTACGAAATATCTCTATCAAATATAATAGTTTCTATTAAGTAAAATAAACACTACCGTTCTAACTGATTTTAAATTACAACGTAATAAATTTATTGTATAATAAATTATAATTTTACACTTATCAAATAAAATTAAGCATAAAACTGTGTCCTTTTAATAAGTTAAAATTTTATATTGAATGAATTATTAAAAATCATTTACCATATCCATCACTTCAATATGAAAAAATTTATTTATAAGAAATTTTCTTCGAAAATTAAAAAACAGGAATAAATAACTCCCAAACCCAAATGAACAAGTTACTGAGCTAATGAGGGTAAATAAAATTTTATCCTTTTTTGTTAATTGTTATTCCTTAGTAATCATTGCTATGGTGTGAAAAAAAACACTAAGTCTATGGAGACTTTTGGAATTACTTTACGTAAAGTAAGTTAAGGAAAACTTTTTAAACTTATTTAAATGCGTTAAAATGCTGAGGTGCCGCAAAGTGTTATAATGAGTCGACAATTTTCAGTACCCAACATAGCTGGCGGTATAAGGTTTTAATTATACACTTTGGGATAGTAATCAAGCTGAGTTTGTTTTGCTTTCCTGCCTTAAGGATTTTTAACTCATAAATTAGAGAAGTTTTATAAAGCCGCCAATCCAAAAGTTTTATTAAGAAAAAAATATGAAAAAATTTAAAAACTTAAAAAATATGTAATTTTGCTTAAATTTTCTTTGTCTACAAAAATTTAATATATTTACTTGCTTTCGAACACATATAAACGAAGGTAACAAATTTATAGTAACCATACGTAATGACACAGAACTGGAATTTCTAAATGAAGCATTTGCGTCATAAAACAAAATAATAACTAATAACAAAATTTTCAGCTTTACAAATGTCGTTTCCTGATATCTCCTGCTGATTGACATGTATTCCTTTGCAAGCGTTTTGTGTCAAAATTGTTTAAATTCCAAACGTGATTAAACATTCAATAAACTAATTGTGCACATTTGCTACTAAATGCATGCAATTATATGATACGCTTCTCAACAAACTCGGTTCAATGCAACAATAACCACATTTTTCCCATGTACGATAATATATTCTATGATAACAGAATAATTTTAAAGGACCATAACATTTTAGTATTTTACCAAGGATTTTCTGAAATTTCCGCAATGAATATTTGTGATGAGTACATGTGCATCAGCAAATAATTGGTATATATGTAAATAATATATAAAATAGTATACCAATCATCTTTTTCTAAATAAATTTTTCTTTTACATACTATATATACACCACAAAAAATCAATCTCAACTAGTATATTTTGGACAATATCAAAAAAAAAAGCAATTTAAAATTTTGAAATTTATTAAATTTTCTCTATTTACATATATCTATGCAATTTATCTCAAAGTTCAACAATTGTCCATACACTTAGTTTTTTGTAATAATATGGACAATTGAGCACCAATATTTCGAGCATATGTTGGTAAATTAACTTACAAAGAATGTATTACTTTGTGTAAGAGTAAAATTAATACAGCACAATAAATTATTCATCCCAAGGAAGCTGAATTTCAACATAAAGTTCTCGAAACGGCTAACTCTACGTCCCGGAACATACACCAACAGCTAGGGCATCATCTCAATTAAAGTCTTTCCAGTATATAGAATATAGCAACAAATAGTGTGTTAACCATTCGATTTTTCCATATATTTTCTTTTAGGTTTCTTAAAACAACCAGATCTACGTCCAAGAACATTTGAGCACATCAACAGCTTGTATACACACTCGAATATAGTTTTATTATTGACAAGCAACTATGGTTTATAGCAACTTATGGAAGATATCAACAAATAGTCTGTTTAACATATCGGGTTTAACTTCAGTTAAGGTAAAAACATTATACATACATTTTTTTAAGGTTTGGTCAGGTGTATATCCAGGAACATTAAACCAATCAAATTTTATCGTTGACAAAAAACCATGAAACATGTCATCAAATAGTGTGTTAACCATATCTGGTTCGATTTCTCTTGAGATAAGACCTAGTATAATCCATACATTTTCTTTTAAAGTTCCCGAAACGATCAGGTCTATATCCCTGGAACATTGGAGCACACCAGCAACTAGAACATCAATTCCATTTAAGTTTCATTGTTGACAACTAACCATGGATTAGAACAACAACTTATGGAACATGTCATCAAATAGTATGTTTAACATATCTGGTTTGACTTGACTTGTAAAATTCAGAATAATTCATACATTCTCTCATCCACTATATGCTCGTCTGAGAATATGTTTGTAATGCTGAAGGTATATATTTCAATCATTGTATTATATGGAAACATTAGAAAACTTACCGACTTTTATGGGTTAACATAGATAACGAAAGAATCAGTAGCAAACTCATGGGAGATCAAATACGCTCACGACGATTGAGTAGAGTTGTATACTGTTTTAGTTAACATTGTTTTATTTGTATAAATAAATTTTATATTTGTCAGTCAGTTCCAATTTATTATTATTGAATATATGTATGTTACGAAATTTATGAAGAAACCTAATAGTTATAAAACTTTTAGTAAATTTTTTTAAACCTACCTGTCGTTCTCTTGCAGAAAAGATAAAATTTTATCACCGGAACAATCCATCTTTGTGGTAATAATCCATATTAAAGTTTAAAACAAAGTATTTTTATTTAAGACAATATTTACCAAAATCCAATAAATATGTATCTATTAGTTACAGACCCTCCATTCCTAGCCATTTACCTTTTTACATTTTTACGCCTAATTATTTTTTATGTAAGCATGGTAATTTTTTTTTTTCATTTTCTGTAAATAAAATTGTTAGTATTCTTTTGTATTTATTGTATATATACAATATTTATATTTTTTGTAATTACTTGTATATAATAGTTTCCTTGTACTAATGGAGATAAATATATATTTTTACGTTTACTGTTTTCACTAAAAGTTCAATAAAAATCAACAAAAAAAAATAACGATAAAATTTTGATGAAAAACCGAAATTAAAATTTTATTTTATTTTTTTTTTGTTGATTTTAGTGAAACAGTTTTTTTTTTATCTATTCATATGCTTATATCACTTTTTAATAAAACTCAAAGCCAACTATTCAGATATTATAAAATTTGTATCACATTTTTTTTTGTGAAACATTTTTTTCTCTCCAATTATTTTGATTTAAATATTAAGTAAATGTTTTATAAACCATAGAAATATATTTAATTTACTTTTGACCTTTCTGCTAAAATTTTTAATATTTGTATTTTAAAAACTGTATAATTATCAGCAGTGCCAAAACGAAATTATGTACAAAACCTATGAAATCTATGAAATGAGTCATATCTATACTCTATAATCCACGAAAAACGGTCCAGAATATTAATTTAAATACAACTAACATAAGTTAACAACTCTAGTTAGTTACTGAGTGAATCTAAGTTCGTGTTTTACAATCACTCCATCAGTTTGGTTGTAAGTAATCGACGCAATTGCACAAAAGTAGCAGAAATTTTGATGTATGTGACCGAGTTTGGCAGATGATCTGGCTGTTTTTATGCGCGACTACATACTATATCAGGAATAGAAATACAGGTACATATTGAAGCTACTGCAGACGTCAACAAGCTTTTTCATCAATCCCATGTGTATACCTCTGATCCATTGCCGATTTAATGCCGTTAATGCTCATGTATATGCTTCATCTATAAAGTGTTTTATGTAATACTTATTTTCCCATGCTTATATCTACTTTATGTTACTAAAGGTTCTACAAAATCTGTACACAGTAGTTTAAGCTTCGTTATTAACCAATGATCCAGATATTGAATTCTTTTCATATTTTCTCAGAACGTTATCTACTAAATCGAAATTTTATATTGCTTTCTTTTAATACATCTACTATATTTTTCCACATACCTTCGGATTGCTGATTAGGCTATATTGCTTTCCACTTTCCTTGTAATCTAAAATCTTACACGTCGAGACTTTTAAATTTATATACTTACTAAGACGAATAATTGTTTTTCAGAGACTTGAATGATTCTCTATTATTAGCTCTATTATTATGTTGAGGCACTGACTCGCACTTGACCACTTTTGCTCTGAATTTTCTGTGTGGTTTCTTCATAACCCCCCTCTACGCTTGGACTGGATTATTGTTTATCACTTCATCAGACTAAGCAATAATTGACCTCAGATCTGTATACCTCCCCGAGAAGTCTGTAACTATTCTGAGATTTGATAACCCAGTGTTGCTAAGCCTATCAGTTTTCGTAAATAATTTCAGGGCTCTATTCTTTATGTATTTTTTGAACGGATAAATAAGTTTCATTTTTGAAGTTCTACATAACCAGAACTAAAATAGTGGGAAAACTTGCTCAGAACATTGAAATTCACAAACAACCCTCAACAAATTGCAAAAGTTGGGTATTGGTTCATGTCCTGTTTCTGTTTAAAAGCCTCTTTAAAAGGTTTATATATCCATCTCATCACAGAATTTTATCCTTATCTCATTTTTAATGTTTAATAAACCAACTCTTTAAAAATTTTTTCCAATTGTTCTAGTGATAGATTATACCTGTTCTCTAACTGTGATTGTTTATTCCTAAATATATGTAGAAAAATTCCACTGATATATTTTATAATATTTTATTTCACCCTTTACCTTTCCATTTAAATAAAACACTTATTTTCACACACTTATAAGAGAAAATAGTTGCATTTATTTGAAGGATAACATTAATAGTTTCTGTATTCACATAACATCTTACATCTAAAGTTGCATATTGTAATTAACTGTTTCATATATTTCTATATAATATATATTATATATAAGAATTTATATATATAATAATTGACATATACATATGTCAATTCTTATATGTATATGTATATAACATGCACACATACCTAAGCATCTATGTTTTACAACGAAAAAATGTAATTCAATTTTATGTATTCACTTTAATATCTTAGATATAGGGTTTGAGTATTTGTTTAACAGTAATCTCTCACACATATCAATCAAACTGTTAAAATTTACATTATCTGAATACTTCATACTTATGTATTTTAAATATATACTATAGTTTTCTATGTGTGTACCACTTTAAGTAAGCTGCTGTAAATAGAAATTCATATTAAACATTGCTTATCAATTCCAAGTAAGGTAACTTCCATACATTTTTTATTTTTTCAACTGACGAGATTACCGCTAAAATTTTATTTACATTACTTTACTATTAAGTTTTATAGACTTTAATTAATAATATTAATATTAAATATTTTGTTATACTTTTTTTATTAATATGAATCAAATATTTATTTTAAGCCTATTATGCGTATTTTCCCTTTTCCCCCAAAAGCAAAATATTAACAATTTTTATATTTTGCAACAATTTAATTACAAGTATTTTTACTATATACTCTTACTTTATTTATTTGTTTATTTACTTTTTGTATATATAGTAATCCTTTTAATTACATTTAAGTGCGGTTGCTTTTTTAAATTTATTACTCAATTATTGTTCAATTAATTATTATATTGCATGTATGTAAAGTTTTGTATAAGAGTAGGTAAATAGTGTTATTTTGCAAACTACAGTAATTAATATTTTTATGTAAATAGTTTCTGATAATTTTTGTTATCATTAACATTTTAAATTTTAAATAAAAGCAAAAATATTTCATTTAATTATTTCGAAATGCTTAATATTGTGCGGCAATTGTCGTTCCAATACTTAATAATTATTTTTAATTAGACTATTGTTTTTGATTATTTGATTTATTATATAATAAACTTTAGATATTTATTTTTAATATAAATAAATGTGGTTTTTTATATATTTTTTATCTGGCTGTAGGATCTTCTTCCTGTAACTTATCATCAGGGTTACGATACGTCATCCTCTTTGTTCTATCATCTATATTGTACAATATAGACAGAACAAAGAGAACAAAGAGGATAGCGTATCGTAATTCTGATGGTGACTCTCAAAGAGAATCAAAATATAGAGTATAATAAAAAAAATATTAAACCTTTAATTATTTAACAAGAAGGGACCTACAGCCAGTTAAAAAATATATAAAAAACTATTTTAATAAACAGGTCGAAAAATAAAATTAAAACAATTAAATAAATAAATATTTTAAATAATTAATCATAAAGTTTTTAACAAATTATTTAGTCATCAATATTTGTAAATTATTAAAAATTAATATTGGTATATTGAATAATTAAATTTTTACAACAAATCATTTGAAAATGGATAATTAACGAACAGTATTTGTTGCGAAATGATAAATTTTAATATAATATATTGATAAAATGTTATTGCTTATTGCTTGAGTATATTACTATTATAAAAAACCAAATAAGCTTCATGAAGATATAGAATTAATATTAAAAAGTGGTCTAAGACCACTGATGATGGGTATTTGACAATACTTGAAACAGCTGTATAGTCCGCCAAAACTTCAATTAATGAAAATAATATAAAATTAATTTTTGTTGTTGTAGTGACTACTGTTCGAAAAACCTATTTTAATAATATAAATTTTTAATTAAGAGTTTTACTTATTTTTAATATCCAATATACCTATATAATTATTTGTTTAATGGCTAATAAAAAAAGTTTAATTATCATACTGAAAGAAGTACAACTGCGACTATTATCTGATATGAATCCATCAGTTCTTAACATATCATATATATATTTGTATATTTAACATCTCTATATAAACTAATATTAAAAAATTTATTGTATAATTTTTAATATTATTTCCATTTCTTATCTTATCAAAATATTTGCATTTCTTATTTGTTCATTGGCATAATTAGAAAGAGGTGGGTATTATCATATGTATTTCTTTGAAACAACATAACTCTATAAAATGTATTTAAGTGGTAGATATATATACATATATATTTTTTTGAACAAAGTATTGTCTTATATTGATTATTTACGTTCATTACATTTGTATTTGATTATTCTTTTAGGTGGTTCAACTTTAACACTTCATAGTAAATAAAACTCTTTAAAAAGGAAAAAATTTGTAGAGTGAATTTTTTTTTAAATATTTTAACAATTTTATAAAAGTTCATATTGGTTAATTTGTTTTTATATACAATATGTGTTATTTTTACATCATATTTCATTTTAGTTAACTTTTGTTGCTCTTGATTGAAATATTATTTACACGTCAAATACATATAATTTTACAATAAGATTGTTTTTAAGCAATATTTTCAGTGCATAAAACTAAAAACTATGCTTAATACGTTGGATAGTTAAATTCAATGCAGTTTGCTTATACTATATATATATATAGAAAATAAATTAAATAATATTATAGATGTATATTTTTGGGAAAAACTAAACTATTTTCAAACTCTCTTCTATTTCTAAACAAAATTATTTTTACTTATTTTACTTATTTTAGTTTGTTTTTATGCACTGATAAATATTTTTTAATGTCATCTGAGAGTATTTATTATGTTCGTACGTAAGTTTATTTATGTTTATTTTAACGGAGAGAAAATTACATATTTTGTTTCAACAATTTTAATTAAAAACCATTAACACACAATTACATTCTATGAAACTGCAAAAATTACTTTATGCATTAATAAATTTCTATTTTTGTATTTTTTTGTTTAGAAAAATAAGAAAATATATTTAATGTATTCAAATTGGTGTAAATGATTAATATTATATATTTTTATATTTTTTTTTTTTAATGAATAAAAGGAAGAAATGAAGTTCTTTTCGATTCAACACTTTTGCATCGTTTGGGTTTGTAAGTTTGCAGTCATTATATCTCTCCATGAGTTTATGTATTTATTTAGCATGTTTTCTCAACGTTTACATTATGTATTGTATTTATACATTTTATTTTGAAATAAACATACAACTATGATTTTATTATTTAGTACACATATTAAACTTATATGTTTTTATTAACTCACATCGAGATATTTTGAAAAAAATTTTAAAAAATATTTTCTTGGTTTTTTGTTAACACTTAGACGCACAAACTTTTTACTTTAAATATTTAACTGTTTCACATTAATTATTTTTGAATTACATTTATATTAATATTTTTATATAAAATATACATAAAACTTTGATTTTTTAGTATTATAGGTGGAAAATATTGTTTAGATAAATAAATATATAATGAAGCATTGAATTTGATATTTGCAAATTATTAAGACAGAAATATTTTGAAATTTTCTTGATATCTCTTAGTTTCTCTCTCTTTTGATAACCTCTCTTAGAAATTTTCAATTTAAAAGTGTCGTTATCGAGAAAATATCAATATCAGTATACAAAATTTTAAGTTTTATACAATATATAATCTACATAAAAAAATTTCACATTAATTTACTTAAATCTAAGACAATTTTAATTTACTTTAGAACTACTACGCTACATTGTATTCAATTTTTTAATAAATAATACCTTACAATTACATGTACTTAAAGTCAAAAATACTTCTTTGCATTGCTATTTTAATAGCTTTTAGCTATGGTTCCACATTGTATTCAATTTTTAATTTCTTCATATCTTTAAATTATTAAAGTAAAGTGAAATTTCTTATTATTTTTAACGTATTTATTACTACTAGTTTTAAACATATAATATTAAATATAGGGTAATTCGGTCACATACAATCGTCGGTGTAAGCTAGAAGAATTATATATAGTTTTAAGAACCGTCAAATTCTAGCACTCAATATTTTTAGTTCAAAACACTGTTCACTGTGCTTTTCCGATTTATATATAACATGGTTGCACTAATATCTTACAATCTAAATTAGCTTAAATAAAATTTATTGTTGTTGGAATACATTGATTATATATTTACAATAATCATATTATTTATCATATATAAAGTGTAATAACATAATATTTATTATGATCATACACTAAATGAAACTATTGTACTTCCACAAACATCAAGTAGTGCAGTCGAATCTAATAGTATATAAATTTAATTAATGGTTCTATAATTTTATTTGCTTATAAGGAAAAAAAAACTTATATTACAATTACATTAAAAAATTAAAAATTAACATTAAATATTCAACTCAGAATAAACCATTGTATTATCAAATATTTAATAGTGTATGTAAGAACTCGCTTTAGTAATAACATTTTGAATAGTAAAATTCAAAAAAAATTTAAAACAGAGTACTATAATATTTTTTATTACACTACATATCTTTTTGGTATTATATATCAACATAAATAACATAAATTTTATCAAATTTTTTCTAATCTTATTTCTCTACAGAATTACCGAATCCTTTTTCGGAACTTTTGAGCTAAACATACATTTAAATAAATTTAAAGGAACTTATTAATTATTTTTAATTTCTACTTGTATTAAATTTTTAATTTTTACTTTTTTAATCAAAAATTATTTACCCTTTAGCGCAATCAAAAAAATACTTTGTTTAATGTAAACATTTTTTCACAGAGCAATTATTTTTATACGTACCATACTCCTTATATACCCACAATATTATAATTAATAAAATGCTCTAAAATTTTTTAGAAAAATATTTAGTTTTTGATTTCTAAACAATTGCTTAAAATTATTTTTTCACAGGACTGCCGGTTAATTATTTAACAAACAAGTCCTTTAATGTTGAGCACAATGATGCATCACATGTATCTTTTGAATCATCCTCATCGCCTTTGCTGAACCAATTCAAAGTGGAACGTACTGCATTTGTTGCTTGATTTTGTGTACGGGTACGTCGATTGGAACCATAATCTTTTGGTACTGCTCCCTTACCACTTGCGGTAGCCGATTTTAAACCTGATGCTGTCTTAGCAGCACTTACAGCAGCTGATGCACTTGAAGTGGAACTTTTGCGTAGAAAACCCTCAATAGCTGAACCAATAACAGTAGCATCAACAATTGTGCCCTTTGTAGTATCTGTCCAGCTTTTCTGTTTGCTGCGTGGTTTTAATTTTGGCTTAGAATCACGTAAAACGTCTTTTGTCTGTAGACGTTCTAGCATGTCTTTTGAGAGTGCCATGGCAGTACTCTTACTACGCACACTTTTCTTACGCGCCATAGGTTGATGTCGCTTTGCGAACCAGCCAGAGAGTGCCGCGGAACTATTATCCTGCGCATCAGTAACCAACTGTTTAGCATTATTAAGTATAGAAACATCAAAACTATTTGAGCGTGTTGAACGTCCTGCATTTGGATCTAGCAAATTAGAGGAGCTGCTAGAAGTTGGTGCTGCAGCAGCTGCACCTGTTGTTCTAATCTTACCTGCGCTTAGAGTGCTCGGAGTAGTAGCTTCATCATATTTGTGTATTTCAATGGCGGACGATGTTAGCGAACTAAATATATTGGTTGTACCCAAAAAACCAGAGCTCTTCTTACGTTGGGTTGCTACATTAATGCCACCGGGTTGCAAAACACATGGCGATATAAGTGCTGGATGTTCTGAAGCTCTACGATAATTTGGCGCTGGTGATGTCTGTGCTGTAACACATTCTGAATATCGACGATTGGTGTAACGTTGTGGTGTGCTGCCGCCTCTTTCATCTAAAGTTTGTACTTCACAAACTTTTTCATTGCTAGTATTCCATAATTTCATACGTGCCTTTCGCGATTGCACAATATCATCCATAATATCTAATTGTAAATTATGTATGCTGCCGATGGGATCAATAGCTGGTGGACCAGTTGATGTGTTGCTTTCACGTCGTGAACCTAAAATACGACTGGTGAGATGGAAAAAAGGTTGACATATTTATTAGTGATATACACATAACCAACCAACCCCCTTCCCCAACTCACTTGTTTGTTGGATAAGCAGCTACGGATTCGCGTCTGGAACGTCCAAATAATGTTGTTGGCACCTTTGATATTGTGACAACGGAATGACGACGACCAGATGGTGCTGGAGCTTGTGAAAGTGTTGCTAAAAACGCAGCTTCTTTTGGACTCGGACCGGAACCTTCGCCGCCGCGCTCGGACAAGCGTCGCACTTGACTTGCAGTTATTCCTTCTGTGACTTGTTGAGAAGGAAGTGAATGCTTTCGGCCTTCTCGTGGATCTCGCCATGGTGATAGTAGGTATGGGTTTAATGGCGAATCGATCTCTAAACTAGCCTTATTTGAAGGTGTATTTGAGCTATCTTGCTCATCATCTTCTACAGCATTCGATTCTTCTACGACAATTAAAGGCTCCTGCTTGCCCATGTGTCGTGAAAACGATGATCGACGCAAACGAAAAGTATCTGCAGAATGGAGAAATGGTAGTAATATTAGTTGCTCATGCAAAAATTATAAGATAAATATTTAAAAAAAATACATGTAACTGAATAATAAAATTACTTAAAATAAAACAGCTCATCAGTAATTAGCTATTTCACACAACCAAAGTGACAGCTTTTATTTACACACAACACCTCCGCATCCTCATTCAGATACAGAATAAAATGAAAATATGTTGACACCTACACGTGTAACGTCTTATCTACGCTGGTGTTCATCACCTACGTGGTAAAGGGATTTGCACTTCTGATTACATCGAAATGTTTGACAATGCAAATCTGACACGGAGCACAACGCTGCGTAATCGAATTATTAAATGACGGAGAATTGATAAGAAAAAAATTTAAATATTTACTTACTGGGAATTGTCGCATTTCCATTATTGAAAAAAACTGCTTAACAGCACAAGTGAAACCGAAGGCACACATATGCCGACATTTAATTTCACGTCAAGTAAATGGAAAAATGAAGATTTTGGGAAAAACAGCAAGAAAATTCGTTGCCTTTGTTTTAATTTTCATGAGATTTTTCCGTTTAGCTCATATATCAGACAATATTGACGTTTTGCAATACAAGCATGAGATACAGTCCTGAGGTAAAACCTTATTAAAGGCGCACTCATTAGCGTTATTAATTTTTTAATATAAAACCCTGTTAAAAATATTTTCTTTAACCTTTTGTTAATCAGAGAGCAACAGTTAGGTGTGTAAGTATGTTCCTATGGAAACGAAATTTAATAAAAATGTTATAATTATGCGCATATATTTCACAACAAATAATTTTCATCCATCAAGCGTTTTTTATATGCAAATGACACCACCCCATTCACATACGTTTTGTTGCTGGAATGTTTAAATATTTACTCAAAATCCATGAAAATTATATTATATATATTTTATTTTTGCATAAGTGATGACATTTTATGTATTAACAAGAAAATTTGATTTAAAATCTTAATTATATTGCAATTATAATAACAGGTAAATTAAATATATTAAATATTTTTGAAAATGTTCATTTTGTTTCAAATGAACTTTAATTAATTAACCATCGAAATTAATATGTGAAACTGCAGATACAAAGTATTTAAATTTATGAGATTCAATTATATATTTTGCTCTTTTATCATTTTTAACATTAATTATTAAAATGTGTTGTTTTGTATTAACTTTATGAGTATTGGTACAATGGTAAAAAATATCTGGTGGTTGCAGTGCTCTACTTTGAATAAAAACTTTAATCCTCATCTTATTTCTAACATACTGTAAAGCACAATAAAGTCACGAGTCGTAGTATGTAGTATTTTTTACATAATAATGTTCTATCATACCATAAGTATAACACAAAGGGCGTTATAGCTGATACAAAGTAGGAATAAAATTGCTAATTTAAACGATCAACTAGCTGTTTGAAAGAAGCTAATTAACATTAAAATGTTTTTATTAATTTTTATAACAAATACTTTTATAAGTACCGAATAAGCACAACATTTTGGAATTCAAAAGAATATCATCTCCCAGCCAAGTAAAGTGTTATGAGCTCAATGGATTTTTGATACTGTAGCAGTCCACAGACAGCTTTTTACGTAAGTAAAATGTGGTACAGAATATCATTTTTGAGTGTCATTCAATTTGCGCTCTCAAATTTATTCTAGCGATCGAACTTGAGTATGTTCAAGTTCAAGAATTGTCATTCAAGCAAAATTTTTGAAGAATAAGGGTGTTTACGCAACATGTTGGTTGCGTGTCATTCAAAGGTGCAGACTATCATTTTTGAGTGTCATTCATGGATTTTGTCTCTTGAATGACACTCAAAAATGATATTCTGCACAGTGCGTAATAGAAGTAAGAATGTTTTGTATGAAAGAGTACATAATATCTTTCGTTAAAAAGTGCATAATTACCAATAGGGTTATTAATTTTATGTTAACAAGTTAATGTTACCTATAAAAAGTTTACCTATACCTATAAAATGTTACCTATAAAAAATTTTCTATAAACTATCTGAACAATCTGTCATATATATTAATTATACATAGAAGACTGACCGAGTGTGAATAATTATATGTTTTCAAACTTTATGACAAATTCTAAAACTTCTATAGTATCTTTGCGAATTCATTATTCATAGAGGACTAAGCTTCTGAAATATAATGTAATATTTGCAATTTACCATAGCACTGTAAAACTACATAATATGCTGGAACAGAACTAAGATGAACAATATTCACTAGTAAGCAGAGAGGGATTGAAATGTATGAAGAAAACTCTTTGAGATTGTTATGGTCTAATTCGGACCATTAAAATAACTGATGATAATGGATAACAATTGCGGGCCCAAAATCTACCTCTTAGATAAAATATCACTAGAAATAGTTTCTCCTTAAATGACATATTTTAATAGTAACTGCTGAGAAAAAATTAAATTTTGTAATCAAAATAATAAAGTAACTGTTTAGAGTGACGGTTACTTAAAACACCGCTTAACTAACAACATTTTTTTGACCATTATACATTGTGACCGAAAAGGTTCCGGAAATTTTAAATAAAACGCAAAATTCTTAATCTTCATCAATATTTATTTTATCTCCTTCAAAATATGCTCCATTAGAAGCGATACACAAATGCCAACGTTTCTTCCAATTATTAGGCGCTTTCCGGTATGGCTTTGAGTTCCCTCTGCGAATTCTGTTTTACGTCTTCTATGGATTCAAAACGCGTTCCTCTGAGTGGTAATTTGAGTTTGGGAAACAGGAAAAAGTCACACGGTGCAAGATCAGGTGAATACGGTGGCTGTTTGATGGTATTTATTGAATGTTTGGCCTTAAAATCGTTGATAATGTTGGCTCGGTGCGAGGGAGCATTATCGTCATGAAAAATCCATGAATTATCCTTCCACAATTGAGGCCGTTTACGGCGGATAGCTCTCACGACCGATGCCTAGCTCTCGTGCTATCTCTCTAACACTCACATGAGGATTTTGGAACACGATTTCCTTTGCCTTTTCAATGTTTTCGTCGGTGGTAGAGGCCGAAGGTCGTCCAGAACGCGGCATGTCTTCGACGGTCGTACGACCGTCCTGAAAGGCTTTGTACCACTCATAAACTTGAGTTTTCGATAAAACTGATTACCCATAAGCCTTTTGTAGCATTCGCAACGATTCTGCACACGAAATTTCGTTCGAAACACAAAATTTGATGCAAACTCTTTGTTCAATATTTTTTTCCATTGTTTTTTCGCAACGCACTACTGAGGGGAACTGGTTTCAACAGCTGCCGTAAACGAACTGTCTGACAGATCGCGCTCATTTTTGGCATAGTAATTAAGGACAGTGCTGCCAAACTACATAAACTTAAAATATCGAAAAATATACAGCGCGCGAATTTTAAATGAGAATTTCCGAAAACTTTTCGGTCACAATGTAGAGTCTCTTAGCTTTATACTAACGTAATGAAGTTCAGAGCTACAAATTGTATGACTGAAATACAACATTTACAAGTTTACTTCATTTATTTGTTGTAGTATTAATAATAATTAATAATTTATAAAATATTTATTTAACTTAAAAACTAAAAATAAATCTATTGTTTGAAAGTTGATGAAATATTGTAGTAAAATTAATTAATTTAGATATTATATCGTTTATACGAGCAAAACGATAACAGAACAAAAACCATAGATAAATAATTCATATAAATAAATTAAATATTAAATAAATATTATATTATATAATTAATATGGATGAAAAATTATAAATTAAAGCAGCACAAAGCACAAAATGCAAGATTTCTTAATATTAGTGATAAAGGTAAAATATCTAAATTAAATTGAACAATGATATTGAAAGATATTACTATAATGAATTTTAAATATTAAATTTATTCAATTCAACAGCCAGCTTATGGTCAAAGTAGACTTGATAAATAATTACAAAGAAAGCTTTATTCCATATTGACTGTAAACAACAACGCAAATTAGCAAACTTGCACTTTGCTCTGGAATACGAGTAGCATTGCTTCAATTACGAGACATAACCAACATTAATTTGTTGTCAGCAAATTGCATTTGAGTTGTCAGTGTGATAATTTATCAATGTACCAACATTGCATGAAAACAAAAAACCATTAATATACCAAGCAGAGCAACACCTTACCTACGTCAACTAAAATGCATTCAAGTGATATTTTCTACTGTGCTCGATGCATGCAAACATACGTCATTTCAGTGACATTTATGCAGCATTATTTTGCACCAAAGTGCAAAGTTGTATTTAAAGTAACCGTAACTTATAACTTTGTTTCGCCTAAGTAAACAAGAAAACTCTATTAAAAAGTTGAACAAACCAACTTCAACAGAAATATTTGCTAAAAATCCAAGTGGGAACTATAAAGTTTGTAAAATTTTTTAAAAATGGAATTTTAAGTAAAATGTCGGAAAATTTATTTCAAATATATTTTTATTATAGTTTTAAAGAAAAACATTTTTTCATGTTTTCTTTTTTGGTTCGCAATGGTTAAACCCATAGTACTGACTTAAGCTTGTTTATCTTTTATTAGATTTGATTTTAAGGTAGATTTAAGTACTTCAAAGTAATCATAGTGCTTATTTATATTGCTTGCCTTTACTTCAATTTGTGGGTAGATGAAATAAATTAAAAAATCTACGACTACAAATCCACACTATAGATGAAAAATCACGCACTTAAGCGTCAGCTAAACTCAACGGAGAGTAGATTTTTAATTCCAGTAAATTCTCCTCTTTCTATTACATTTTCCATTAATTTTCGCAAAGAATGAAAGATTAAATTCTTTTAAAACAAAAATACATTAAAGTTTTCCTATCAATTTTCTTTTATTTGCGAAATTTAATTAAATCGGTCTATGATAGGAAAAAGTAGCCAAATAAAAAGTTTTGAATAATTTTGAAAGACGATTGAAAGAATGTAAAAATAAATGTGCTGTCCTTATAGAGAAAGTTATATTAAAATTAATTGAAAACAAATAGCTAAATTATTGTAATTTAAGACATCTATTTTTATTATAATTAAAAAAATAATAAAAATGTAAAATAGCTTCTTCAATTAGTATATAATTAGTGTAAAATAGTATACTCACCCATTTTTGAGATCTTTGAATTAGTTTAATTAAAGCTGAAATTATAAAAAAAATACAATATTGATTAAGACTTCAATTATTTATTTTTAAATTATTTAAAATATATATATGTATTTATTTGTGTATAATAAAAATATTGAAAATAATTACCATATAGTGCCAAGATATCTTTGAAATTTTGTATCTTTTGAATATACATATATAACTATAATGAGTAAGTAATTAGTAATCGAATTAAAACCTTATGCACCCCAGTGGAATAAATAAAGAGAAAAAAAATAGCAGTAAGATCCTAATTAATGATAAAGATCTCGGTAACTTCTATTTATTACGATAAATGCACATGTCATGTATACATATTTTCTACAGGGTTTATGTATTTGCACAATATATATAATGTACTCATATTAAAAATTAAAACAATTTATTTTTGTACATTATTAATTTGTGTTTACAAAAAAAAAAATAATAATAGACTTCAATTGTTTTCTTAAAAGAGCATTTAATTTTGCTTAATTATAACTACAATCTAAATAATTTAAATTATTTAAAAAGTTCTTACTGCACTTCTGTATTTGAGAGCATCAAAAATACATTAAGAAGAAATGCTAAAAAAGAAGAAGAAAAAGTTTTTAGTTTAATTAAAAAATTTCTCTTATTTATAAAACCATGAATTTTCCTGAAAATATTTTTTGTTAGTTTTGCTATGGAAACGACAAACAAATTTTAAATTTT